CAGTTAGGTGAAGATTCAACCAACTCTTGTTATATGCTACTGTTTACTATGTAAATGCCAGAAAGAACTGAAAGCATTAACAAGGAATACCAGTGAAGGAAGGAGTTACCAACATCACCACTTCGAACCTAATATTCAAAGTAAAGATCCATTTCAAAGTAGAAGCTGTCTGCCAACGTTTAAATTTTAAAATGTGAATAGAGAGGCACGTTCACATACTCATTTATTTCTCAATAGTCTGTGAAAAATAGAAATAACATCCTTGTTTGTACATGACAAAACAAAGTATAGTGGCCAGGGCAAGTTTCATAGTAAGAACAGGGATTTATCTAGATTTTTCTGATTTCTATTCCAATTTTCTATTTTACCACAGCTGCTCAAGAGTATGCTATCTCCCCATAGCCTCCCTCTTCATCACTTATACCCTTCAATATCAACCTGGTTCCAGCCTTAACACCAAAGCATCTCCTGAAGACCTAACATTCCAGGTGCAAGGGGTCTAAGATATCTCTATCAGCAGATAATTAAGGGCAGGCTGTGACATCTGTACTAGAAGCTTACAAACTACAACCTGAGTGGGATTTCTGGAATCTGAAAGGCAGTATACTACCAAAAAGGGGAGGTGAGAAGGTGTAAAAAGAAAGTTTCCTTTCCTGGTCCCTGGTTCTCCCACAAACCTATGTAATCTGTATTATTTGCATTAAATTCAGATTTGATGAATACAAAAACGTGGTGTTTGCTAAACTCTCAAAATTAGTTCCTTTCCTCTTATCTCCCCTTCTGCTGCTATGCAAGAGCTCTGACAGCTAACTACAAAGAAATAAAGGGGGGCGTGGCTGGTGTGGCTCAGTGGTTGAGTGTCGACTTATGAACCAGGAGGTCACAGTTCCAATCCCGGGTCAGGGCACATGCCAGGTTTTGGGCTCAATCCCCAGCAGGGGGCGTGCAGGAGGCAGCCTATCAATGATTCTCAGCATTGATGTTTCTCTTCCTCTCTGAAACCAATAAAAATATCTTTTTAAAAAAGAAATAAAGGGGGCCATAACCGGTTTGGCTCAGTGGATAGAGCGTCGGCCTGCGGACTGAAAGATCCCAGGTTCAATTCCGGTCAAGGGCATGTACCTTGGTTGTGGGCGCATCCCCAGTGGGAGGTGTGCAGGAGGTGGCTGATCGATGTTTCTCTCTCATCGATGTTTCTGGCTCTCTCTCTCTCTCTCCCTTCCTCTCTGTAAAAAAATCAATAAAATATATTTTTAAAAAAAGAAATAAAGGGGGTTATAGGAATTGGGTAAAGTAAGGGGGTCTTAGCCAATGAGATCCCCTAATCCACCTATCCTGACACCTGCTAGGTAAGTCTTCTGCCCAACCAGTATTTTGCCTATGAAGCTTTATGTATCTGGGCATTCATATATAGTAGCAAGATCAAAATCTGAACTTTTACTAAACAGCAAAGGGTGCATTTCTAATGTATTCTGTTGTAAGACTAACCTTCAACATAAAATTTTCGGGTGGGGTGTGAGGGGAGGGGACCAAATCGCCAAGGATATCTCCTCCAAGAAATCTCCCAAGCATCTATCTTTGCTAGGCTGTGCTAAGAAAAATACAAAGACTACTGGGTTCAAGGGTTGACTGATTTGTTTTTGTTGTTAAAATACATACAGGAAAATGTCAGAATACCCAGGAATCTACTTATCTTGTTCTCAACATATTCAACACCAAAGAGAAATAAAGTCCCCAACATCCCTGATTGCTTTAACACCTTTTGTTGGAGCTTATCTAGGTGTTTCAGAAATGCTAATGAACTGAGTCCTTTGGCTCCTTAAATCCAAAGACACAAAGTCAACTTCAAAGGCTCAAAGAGGAATTGAAGGCCTGGTAGAGATGCACCTTACCCCAAATCTAATCAGGAGGGCAGAAGGGAGATGTAAATAAAAATATCTGCCCAGCCGATGTGGCTCAGTGGTTGAGCATCAACCTGTGAACCAGGAGGTCACAGATTCCCCGTCAGGGCATATGCCTGGATTTTGGGCTCGATCCCCATGGAGGCTGTGCAGGAGGCAGCCAATCAATGATTCTCTCTCATCATTGATGTTTCTATCTCTATCTCCCTCTCTGAAATCAATAAAAATGTTTAAAAAATAAAAATAAAAATTTGCTAGACATTTCAGAAAATATTTCAAGAATAGTATATAAGGTAAAAGTGGCAGGGAGATAACTGAATGGATCTAAAAACTTAAGACAACAAATTAAAAATGAATAGCTACCAAAAATAAATTTAAAACTTAAATTTCCTAGCTCACTTGGAGTTTCTTTTCTAAAATATGGAGACATAAATGACAGCCATTAATACAGATTTTGATAAGGGGTGATCTAGCTTGATGATATTACAACCCATAAACCATAGAGATATACTTGACTTAACCAGTTTAAAGAAAATTTAGAATCTTTCCTGAACATATGGAATAAAAATCATGTTAAACATTTATTTGCTATTAAATCACCTCAGCAAACTATTTAGTCACTTTCTATAACACTACCAAAAATACCATTAATACCTAACAGATATTCCACTATAAACTATAAAGCTTTTCCCACCTAATATAGTTGAGGCTACCGTACTCCCCATATCTTTATCCCCCGTTCCCAGGACTTAGGCTATCAGCACAGAGCACACTGCAGACACCTAGATAGGCAGGTTGTGGGGAAAGGGCGAGGGTTGGCAAAATGCTAATCATTCCATGCTATTTGCCTCTACTTTATTTTAGATTTCCTACTTCAACTACTGGTGTGGAACCATGGAGATGGAAAGCTGCTTCTCAAACTTCAGATTTACTAGGCATGGAAATAGAAAGGACTTGTCCCAACTATTACTGCTCAAAGTTTAAACACAATTGAAAGCTTCCTTTAAACACAGTATCTCATTCACTTCTTAAGGACCAGTTAGGAACTTCTCCCATCCCCAACTTTTTACCTTAAGAAGCCAAATTCTCAAACATTTTTTCCAATGCCTTTATTATGAGAAGTTAATGGTTTCAAATTAAGGGCAGTCAGATCATCTAAACCACAGGACACAGAAAAGTCACTCAACTGACTTTCTTCCACCTCTAAATGCAACGAATTGATTACATTTTACCTTTCAAGAGGGTTTTAAACTCAGGGTCCCAGATCAAATACTCATTTCAATAATTTCCATAGCTTCATTCAAATGTAAATAATTACAATTTTGTCCACTTTCTAAGTGAACCTAAAGCTTTACTGGTGCTCAATGTAGTTTCATATGGAAAGAATGCAATCCCTCACAAAACATGCTTCTGGGGAAACAACTATGGGTTTGAGAAAAACCAGATTTTGCACTGAAAGTATGGCAGAAGTTGTTAAAAACCTGTAACATACACACCCATTGCACACCCAACTAATGTGAAATAACAATTTCAGTATAATCTGAAGGCTCCTAACGTGAAATAACATCTAGAAAGTACAACAGAATCATTTCCCATACCATCAGCAGAAGATAACTGTTATTATAATTAACAGACAACACAAAGCTTTCTCTAACATACTTACAGACTAAAAAGGCAGGCTTTTTTTTGCACACCTCCCCATCCCCACGTGCCAAAAACAATAAAACCCAAGAGCTTAATTTTGGAATATAAGCTTTTAAGATATGTTAGGAATCCTTGGCACTGTATAATGTATAAATGAATACTAATTCACTAAGACCCAGAACAAATGAACAAATCCCTTTTTCAAACTCTCACAATTACCCATTTTTATGCTGATGTTAAAGAAAATAATCAGATTCAAAAAAATTTTTTCTACTATTGGTTAAAATGAGACTTGGGGACTGACCCTGGGTTCATATTTTCCATTTTACCTTACTTAGCAAAGAAAAGTGTGAGTTGATAACAATTAGCATTAATCCAGTATTCACCTTTCAAACCATGAGGTATTTCAGATTCCTTTAGTAACTCCTAGATTTTCTTGTTTTACCACGGAACATCAGAATCTAAAATTTGTTTATGAGTCCTGATATACTGGTAATATAAAAAACACATGTTAACAGGCAACTTTAGTTTTATATCTAAGTGTGGTATAAAGATTCTACAACAGGTTGCTAATTCTGAAATTAGATTGCTCCAAGTAATCTACAGCCCTGGGAAAGACGACACTGGAGCCCGATGCTTAAGTGTTTTTGGATTGAGGAGGAAGATGTGCCAGACTTCTCATTAGAAGTTTGTCGTTTTTAAAATGTGATAGGACCTTTCAGATAGCTACATCATCAGTCATCCCCCACCCCAATCTGCACCCAACAGCACAGAAGTACAACTATCTGCTAGCATCAGAAACAATTTATATTTCATTCCCCCATCCCATTTGAATCCATTAAGCTAACCAGAATCAACACAAGATGATGTCAAACTACAACTCCATATAACATTCCTCAGAATAATCACTGATGGAATCAAGCATCTTACTTTGCTCATGCTGGGGAGGGAAGAACCCCACAACTCCAAAATAGGCAGACTTCAAGTCTTTGAAAGAGCAAAAGGATCACTACCCCTACAACCTGATGTTATCACTATCAACTCTACTGATAGCCTGACAGTACTGTAACCATGACTCAGCCCATTACAGTTAGAAGGGAAGTCTTTTAACTTAGGTAAAAGAGAATATAGTTTCTACTCCTGAAACTCCCAGCTCCCGGTCAATATTTTAAATATAAATACATTTCACATATAAAAGATTTTCTCAACAATTGAGTATGGGTCAGAATGTTCTAAATCTCTAAGAACAGCCAATAGTTTTAACTAATGTAAAGAATGCACTCCAAAGGGCAAAACCTTCTAGATCTTAGGGGATGAGGGCAGGAAAAATGAGGGATGTTTGCTTTAATATATGAACTTGCATAGTTAATCTGTAAGATGGCTTTAAGTTAGGTCCACTTAAAATTGAGCTTAAGCAAACTCTTAATACAAAGTTCAATAATGACATGTCATGAGCATAATTAAACATTGATTCTTATTTTTTCAAAACTGTCTTTTATAGTTACATAAATCAATTGCTAATTACCAGTGTTCCTTAATAGAGCAAGCACAGTGTTACTAACTCTACACCTTTCTTCTACACACAAGATAATCATTCCATTGTCAGACTCTTAGGATGGGGAGGCAATGAAAGTGCTTTTTCTCTTGAAGGAGCAGATTTAGATGAAAAAGTAAGCAAATGACGAACTATCCAATTCACCTCTCTTGCCTTTTTCAGCTCTGTAAGAAAGTAGAGCAGCTTCAAACAGAATCATCAGAATCATCTCAGAATCACATATATAGCATTGTGGCTAAAGCCTGTGAGCTTTGGAGTGCTCAACTCACTGCCCTGAGCAAGCTAGTAAATAAACTTAAGCCTCAATTTCCTCATCTGTAAAATAGAGATGATAGTACCTAACTCATAAGTGTCCTTCTGAAGATTAAATTAGATGCTCCATAGAAAGAGCTGCAATTTGCGCCTGGCAAATAGAATGTATTCCGTAAATATTAGCAATTATTGTTATTACAAGTCAACACATTCTAAAAGTCAATATAGCCAGTTTACTCCAGCCTCTATAAAAATGGCCCACAGTCACTCACATATTCAATATTTCCTTTGTATAATTTAAGTGACAACCATGGAGGTTAACTTTCTGAGAAGGTACTAAACTCTGTTTCATTACTAAATATATATTACCTACTCAGCCCCATTCTGAAAGTCAAAAGAACACTCTTTCTGTATTAAGATCCTTTCTCCAAGAGAGGTTTTAAAAGGACTTCTTACATCCTTACCTGCCACATCCTTTCTTTGCTCCCACATCCCAAAGAAGCATATTTATACTCTGAAGTTTTCTGAACTCCAGGGGTCTCATCGCCCTCTTTTAAAATCCTAGGTTGGCTAAACATAGTTAAGACACTTAGCATCTTTGTAGTCTTGCATAACACCCAGCTCGGAAGTCACCTTCTGGGAAACTTTCCCACCCCCAGACAAAATTAAGTCCCCTAGTCCCCAAAGCCCTTTGGGTATACATATGCCCCAGCACCTACCTTATAATTAACTAAGTATGTCTCCCCCAATAGGCAGAATTGAGGGCAGGCGCAGCACTATGGTCTAGCACTGGGCTTGGCACATTTTAGGTGCTTAAGAAATGCCACATTTTTACTTAACCGGCCTATCTCCTGCCAGAGTACCATCTCTTGCTGGACGCCCCACTTCAAAATCTGAACATACAGCTGCTCTCAGTAGAGCAGGCTAACATGATGGGCTGCTGATGACAACATCAGAAAACCTACTCATCAGCTTCTCCCATTGGAGAGGTTCCTGGAACCCCAACTCAACTGAACAAGATTATGTACCAACAGAATTTGTGGGAATTCCCAGCACACCAGATCTCCTTAACCAAGAACGCTGAAAAGGCTCAAAGAGTAAGCCTTTTATTGGGAGAATCTTCACTGGGTAACTGAAGTGAAAATATTCAAGGAATAAATGCCTTGCTTTGGCTGAACCGAGTTCAAAAACATAAAGATCTGGGGGAAGCAAATAGCTCTTGATACCTGAAAAAAAAAAAACAGCGGCTTTTGAAAAAGAATGAACAGGAAGCAGGGTGGGTTGCTGGCCACTCTTTGTTTCAATAAATAAAATTTTTTTTTTCCTTCCCCACAGTCCAAAAGAAAAAGCCAATACCCCAGGACCATGATAAGATGCTCCACAACCTTTCCCCCTGACAAGTACACTAAACTGCATTTCTTAAAAAGCACTGCCTTAGGAACCTCAGCCACTTGAAAAGTTCTAGTCAATCACACTTTACCTTCATTTTTTTTAAATTAATATGCCTGAGTTCAACATTTACATTGGGTGGCCCATAGACAACTTGTAAACTTTTTGAAGGGAGGTACTACTACTTACTACCTTTGCAAACAACACAACTTGGGAAAAACAATCTCAAAATAGGAAGAACTCCACAAAGGGTGGCTTTAGTTTTACAGCCATAATTCCTATCATAAACATCTTACAAAAAAAAAAAACCAACAGTTGCCAGAGGGAAGCTTTCATTCTGGATGCAGAAAAGGAAACAAACAAGCAGCAGAAAGGGAATTACCCCCAAAATAAAGTTCACTTTGGGGGAAAAAAAAAAAGTCACAATTCCGTCCCCCACCCTTCCCTGCCCGGCGAGGGCTGTGATGTACACGGCTTTGCTCTGCAGAGAGCTCTCTCTGGGCAGCTCAGGGAAGGAGCCGAGGGAGGGAGAGAAAGGCTCAGGCACTGAAAGGAGAGGAGAGAGAAAAAGAAAATGGCGCAGAGACTAAGTCCCGACTGTCGACAAGGCGACTTTCCCGGGAGAAATCCGGACCGGCACAGGCTGCCCGAGGCCTGGCTGCAGGCGACACGGGGTCTCCGTTGCCCCCTCTCGGGAGGGCTGCGATCTGGGGGGGCTGGGATTCCCGGAAAGCAGGTCTAGAGGCGGCCCGATGGGAACAATGGGGCCGGTGAGCGAGGAGCCCGGACTTAGTCTCTGGGACGCCATGTCTGTCCTCTGCCGGCGCCGGCGGGGGCGGGGCA